GATGCCTTATGGACCACAAGCTGAAATCCATCACAGCATCCTGATGTTAGGCATGAGCCCATCACACCTCAAAATTCTCCCCCTCAGGCAGTTGTATAGCAGAAAGAGCATCATTTAAGGTCACATACAGTATAAGTAATCAGAACACAAATGGGGAAATCTATTTTATAGAAAAAGTTCTTGGATATTTGAAACTTAACTATACCCTGACTGAATATAATCAGTAAAGAATACCAGTCAGAAGGAAGTTTGCCATGGAGAACTTGGAATACCTTAGGAACTTTAGCCTCAATACTGAATATTTGGGTCTTGTTGCCAAGACGATCCGTATTATGACACAAATACATCGGGTCGTCTTAGACTGATGCCATTTGCTTCATGCAGCTCCCTTGTTCTGAGTCCATGCTTGTTAAACCTTTGCTTATTACTATAGATCTGTATATAGGGAGAAAATGTGCTGGTCATGCTGATTTGAAATAATCCAGTCCTGCATCCGTTATTTCCTATTGTTAATGGGGAATTTTGGCATTCTCTTTTTTTAAATGCTTTTATTGTGATACTTATAGAGTTTTGACAGTAATTCTTTATAAATCTGTCTTCTGTCACCATCCATATGTTCATTTAAGGCAGGGAGGAAATCCAATTCAGCTTTGAATCCATGGTACCTAATACAAGTCTGGTACATAATAGATCCTCAATAAAGCTAGTTGAATTCTGATGCATTCTCTACAGAGGTGGTAGATGGATCCTTTTTTGATGCTGTGCGTATTTGAGTAATTGAAAGCTCTGCAGTAATTCCCACTTATTTTTCTTCTCCCCAGCACACTGAAGAAGACTTCAAGGGAAGGTTCAAAGCTCGGCCAGAACTGGAAGAACTGATAGCCAAGTTGAACTAGCTCATTGCAGGCTCTTTCATGCCAGCACTGGTGACATTGAGTGCCCAGGGGAAGAGCTCTCTGAGTGGTCAAAGTTAAGCAGGTGACCCTGACCCTTGGGTATAAGTATCCAACCCCACAGCCAGGAATGCATCCTGTCCTCTGTGGAGGAGTGCTTGCCAATTGTCACCACTTTCCTTGAGCCAACCCTAGGTATCTTCCATCTAATAAAAATTTGCTGTTGATGGGTGTGTTTTGTTTTGTTTAAAGTAATTTATTGAGGTGAAATTCACATACCACAAAACTAACCATTTTAAGGTGAATAATTACATTCACAATGTTGTGCAAGCACCACCTCTATCTAGTTCCCAAACCTCATTGCCTGTTTTTGTAATAAAGGTTTATTGAAACAGAGTCCTGCTCATTCATTTATATATCATTTATGGCTGCTTTCACACTTCAATGGCAGAGTTGAGTAGTTGTAACAAACTGTAAAGCTAAAACATTTATGTGGCCCTTTATAAAAACAATCAAACCTTAATCTAAGTCATTGGTACTCAAACTTAAGTATGCATGAGGATGACCTGGAGGGCTTTTTAAAACACCAATTGCTAGACTCTACCTCCAGATTTTCTGATTTAGTAATTTGAGTGAGGGCCTAGAATTTGCATTTCTTACAAGTTTCCAGGTGATGCTGATGCTAAGGGACCCCAGTGTTTTTCTATTCTGAGTATCAATGCATTCATTCTTCTGTAGATAACAGCTATCATTTATTCAGTTAGACTCTGTGCTAGGTACTATATTAGCTCTAAAACTTATACCAGTTTTTTAGGGTGTATATGAGTGTGTATGTGGATGGGTATCTGTGTGTGTGAGTGTGAGTATACCTCACATTTGTTGAGCTTTTATAAGTGCTATGTACTATATGCAGATTATCCTTGAGGTTGATGGTATTATCTTAATTTTATAGATGGAAAAACTGAGGTTTGGAGAGATGAAGTGACTTCCTAGGGTCACACAGTTAATAGTGGCAGACCCCTCTCTCCTGTATCCCACTGCTTCTCTGAGATAGTCCTATAAGTCTGTGGGAACTCAGAGCATTCTTAGCATTTAAAAAAATGTATTGAATATATCGGGTTGACATTGGTTAATAAAACTGTTTCAAGTGTACAATTCTATAATACATCATCTGTATATTATATTGTATGTTCACCACCCAAAAAGTCTCCCTCCATCATCATTTATCCTCTTTACCCTCTTCTACCTGTCCCCACCCCACCCCCCCCTTTCCCTCTGGTAATCACCATACTGTTGTGTCTATGAGTTTTTTTGCGTGTTTTTTCTTCTTCTTAATCCCTTCAACTATTTCACCTAGACCCCCAACTCTCTTCCCCTCTGACAGCTGTTAGGTTGTTCTCTGTATCTATGAGTTTGTTTCTATTTTGTTTATTTTATTCATTAGATTCCACATATAAGTGAAATCATGATATCTATCTTTCTCTGACTGGCTTATTTCACTTAGCATAATACTCTCCAGGTCCATCATGCTGTTGGAAAAGGTTAGGTTTCCTTTCTTTTTATGGCCAAGTAGTATTTCACTGTGTAAATGTACCACCGCTTTTTAAAAAATATATGTTTTTATTGATTTTAGAGAGGAAGAGAGGGAGAGATAGAAACATCAGTGATGAGAGAGAATCATTGATTGGCTGCCTCCTACACGCCCCACACTGGGGATTGAGCCCACAATGTGGGGCATATGCCCTGACCGGGAACTGAACCATGACCTCCTGGTTCATAGGTCGATGCTCAACCACTGAGCCATGCTGGCCAGGCTAAGTTGATAATTTTGTATGGCCCGAGAGTGATGTCTTAAATACCTAAATGGCCCTTGGCAGAAAAAAAGTTCCCTATCCCTGCTCTAGACTGAGGCCAGAGGGAAATGGACTTTCCCAAGATCAAAGGGCAATGAAATCAAATGGGGTGTATGTCTCCTGCCTCTAGTATGAAGTCTCCCTCCCTGAGGCAACCTAATATAAAGAGGTAGACAAACCTGGGCTATTCCAAAGTTTCTAATTTATTAGTTTTGAGGCCTCAGGTGAGTTATTTTCATCTCATTAAACCAGTTTTCTAATCTGTAGATGGAGATAATTCCCTTTTAGGAGTTTGAGATAATGTATATAATTACCTTTTAGGAGTTTGAGATAATGTATATAATTCCCTTTTAGGAGTTTGAGATCAGTAAATGTTAGATTACCTTCCCTTCTAAACTTCTTCAGCATGCTTTTTTGAAAGATTTTTTCCCCCATTAAGATATAACTTATATATAGTCAAACACAGATTTTAAATGTATATTTGATCAGTCTTAAAAATGCAGCCACCCATGAAAACGATACTTCTATCAAGATAGAGAATATTGTGGCTGGTGTGTTCCTTTACATTCTTTTTTTTTTCCCCAGAAGCAACCATTAATCTCATTTCTATTGCCATAGATTGGTTTGGTCTAACTAGTACTATTTAAATATCACCCAGTATGTAGTCTTTTGTGTCTTACTACATTAATTTACCCTAATGTTTTATCTGTGTTGTTGCATGTATCAATAGTTCACTCCTTCAGCATACTTTTGTTTTGAATACTTCAGTCAGGGTTAAACTATGCCTAGTATTGCTGTAAAGACTAGGGGGGTAGGCAGGAGGGAAGAGAGAGGTCAGTGGATTAGGAAATCAGAATAGCTGGGTTTTAGTTTTGGCTCTATCAATACATAACCTTTGGGATAATCTGTTTTGGTCTTCATTTTACAGATGAGTTAAATGAATTTTCCAAGGTCACCCAGTTAACCAGTGACAGCCACGGATAGCCCTAGGTCAGTGATGGCGAACCTTTTGAGCTCGGCGTGTCAGCATTTTGAAAAACCCTAACTTAACTCTGGTGCCGTGTCACATATAGAAATTTTTTGATATTTGCAACCATAGTAAAACAAAGACTTATATTTTTGATATTTATTTTATATATTTAAATGCCATTTAACAAAGAAAAATCAACCAAAAAAATGAGTTCGCGTGTCACTTCTGACACGAGTGTCATAGGTTCGCCATCACTGCCCTAGGATTCAATTCCTGGTTCAGTACATATTGAGATGGTTAGAAATGGATTTCTTTGTAGATCAGTAATTTTTAAGAAGGATGGGGTCAAATGGGGAGTTTTACTAGTTACGGCCAGTAGGTTCCTCAGCTTTGTTAGTCCCTTTCCTCTGGCTGAGGATGCCTTATTTCCCCCAACAGAGCTGGAAATTGCCCACTGTGGATTCTGGAAGGGAGTTTTAGTTGCAGAGAAAGAAATGAAATCTGGATATTTTGGCCATTCAGACACCACAGCAATGCTGAGATCCCTGGTTCCCACTGTTTCTAGAATGTAAAGTACTTAAAGGAAGGAAAGCGCAGGTCTAAAACTAGACCTGCTGCAAAGGCACTGCAGACGGGGGTGGCCAATGTGTCTCATGCTTTTTTTACATGTAGTACTTTGACCTCTTTGTGCCGTTTTTGTCTCCAAATGTCTGATCTCCCTGGAAAACCTAAAATGATTCATTTAGTTCTTATAACCCCCCTGGAAAAACTTTCATTCTCAGAAATTTCAGGTTTAGGGAATCAGCTCACCATTTAGACAAAATACCCAGGCTCTGAAGAAAGAAAAGTCTGGCAACTGTACCTGAGGGAGTGAAGGTGCGAGGAATATCTTATTACTCGTCTAGTAAAACACAGTACAGGGCACCTTTCCACTGAACACAGGCCAAGTCCCCAGCCAAGGACCTTGTAGGGAAGAGCCAAATCATGAGTCTGTCCTAGGCCTACCCCAGGGGAGCCAGCTAAGAGGTCTCTGCTAAGAGGTCTCTCTATTCATCCCTCGACACCAAGCCTCTCTGCAGGGGTAGGTGGGACAGGCATGGACCACCTTAAACTCTAGCTCCATAGCTGTGGGCTGTAGAACTGAGACTAAAAAAAAAAAAAAAAAACCACACAAAAACACCGTGCCAATCTATAACACTGTGGGCATCTGCACTGGTTAATCTCCTTTTGTAAAGCACTAAAAAAAAGTACAGTAATGTTTACATAGTAAATGTGGTTACTTACTGTGTTAAGCATCATACTAGGCACCAGATGCTTGTGAAAGAGCAGAGCAGAAAACAGCATAGGCTGTAGAACAAGACACACTTGGAGTATGATCCTCAATCTGACCTGTATTTCCTCCTCTGTAAAGGTGAGTTAATGGAGTGTTAAGAGGGATTAAATGAGATACTGTAACTCAGGATAGTGACTAGCACACAAGAAAAGTGACAATAATAGCTAACATTTAGTGGTTACTTACTAGGTACCAGACACTATTCCTTCCTCCCTCCCTCCCTCCCTCTCTTTTTCTTTATTTCTTTAAATATATTTTTAATGTATTTTATTGATTTTTTACAGAGAGGAAGGGAGAGGGATAGAGAGAAACATCGATGGGAGAGAAACATCGATGAGCTGCCTCCTGCACACCTCCCACTGGGGATGTGCCCGCAACCAAGGTACATGCCCCTGACTGGAATCGAACCTGGGACCCTTCAGTCCGCAGGCCGATGCTCTACCCACTGAGCCAAACTGGCCAGGGCTTTCTCTTTCTTTTATTTAAATTTTATTTTCTTGTTTAAAGTATTACAAATAATAGTACATATGTCTCCTTTTTTCCCCATTGACCTTCCCCTGGCCTCCCCTACCCGCCGGCACATGCCCTTACCCCACCCCCCTACCCCCCAGCAGACACTGTTTCTTAGCTCTTTACTTAAGTCCTTACTTAATATCAATAGGTTTTGCAACTTTAAGCAAACAATGTATCATTAGACGAAGTTTATTATATAATAGG